CACAGGGAAAAGTTGATTAAAAGGATAATACTGTGGAGAGAATAATCACAAGAAAAAAAATAATTCTTGATCCTGCAATGGGGATTAATAAAGGGAAAAAGAAAAGAACTCAAATCTAAGAGGATGCCTTATATTCTCTCTCAAAAAATTGGGAAATATCTGAACAAATTTTGGTATATGAATAGAATGGTTTATTATTGCATCATAAGAAATGACAAAAGAGATGACTTTATAGAGACTCATGGGTACCATGAAATGACAGAGTGAAGAGTAATTTGTGCATGGACAGCAACATTGTAAAGAAAGACAACTTTGTAAGATTTAAGAACTGATCAATGAAATGGCCAAACATATTACCAGAGGAGGAAGACATGATGAAACTGTTACCTATCTCCTGAGAGAGAAGTGATGGACACAAGACTCAAGAGATACACATTTTTGGGTATGTTACTATGTGGGTTCACGTTGCTTGGTCATGCTTATTTGTTACAATATTTTTTTTTTCCATCTCAGTCTTTTAATTGTGCAGGGTGGGGTGGGGATGCATTTTAAAGGGAAGTGGAATGTTAGCAATACTGATACAAATAAAGAGGGCCATTGAAACATTTTGAAAAATAAATAGAAGATAATGGAAGGAAATTTAGAAGGAAGCACATACACATAGGGCAACATGTGGAATTTATTATATATTAAAAAAACAAGAGGCATGAAATGGAGACATGCAACCTTTTTTGCATCCTTTTGCATATGTGGAAATATCCCTGTTTTTTAGTGTTTGTGTTCAAAATAAAAAATACAATTAAAAAAACACAAAAAATCCCATTTAGGTCAATGGTAACCAGCTGCACAGGAAAAAACATGTGGATAAAAAAAATGTGTATTGTGCAAACTACAATATGCAGTTAGATGAACAGCCTGTAGAGCTTATATATTAGTATATCTATCTTGGACAGAAATTGCATATGGACAGTGAGTTGAGTCTAGAATGGAATAGGAATAGAGTGCCTTTGGGAAATTGCAAAATTCTTTTAATAACCCCAAACTACTCCTTGAAATATGGACCTATCTTCTTAATACCAATAATTTACTGGTATTGTTATATGGCTATGAGTCCTGGAACCTTAGAGCAGTATTCAAAGAAATAAAAATGGATACCATCCAATGGGCATTGAAGAGGCACACGGTAGGTGTGAGCCCACTATTGCACATTACAAACAATGAATTACAAAGGAGAACTGGAGTAAAAGATATCATCAGAGGGGCGGCTAGGTGGCACAGTGGATAGAGCACCAGCCCTAGAGTCAGGTGTACCTGAGTTCAAATTCAGCCTCAGATACATGGTACTCACTAGCTGTGTCACCCTGGGCAAGTCACTTAATCCCAATTGCCTCACCAAAAAAAAAAAAAAGGTAATTGAGGAGGAATAATATGATTTTGTGGGGTAGCCAGCACATATGCACTGAATACCTTCTCAGAACAACATTTGACCTATGGCTTGAGGGTAGTGCCACCTAGTGATCCAATTATTTATCATCCTCTTTAGCTGGTTAATTAATGGACAGCTTGCTTTTAAGGTCAACCCTCCTCTAAGTAAATTTCAGAAAGCATACTCTGGGCATCTCTCGCCATAGTAGCACCTAGCAAGTATATAGCTAGTCTTTAATACCTGTTAAAATTATGACACACATAGCTGTATCTCCAAAGCAAGTGCTGATTGAACATGACCCCATATGTTCTGGGGAGTAATATTAAAAAGTAACATTTGAAATTCTTGTTGGAACAGAGCAGCCTTTTTGTGCGTGGAAAATAGGAGAGGTTTCAGCCACGTGGATTGGAAACAGATTCTCCCTCATATTTATGACTAGAGTGAGTTGACTGGGACTTTGAAAAGGATGCTAAATTTAGAGGGTGCTAACAGTACTTATATTCTTTCAGCAGAGCTTAGGACTGAGAGGGCAAGAATAAGAAGCTATTATATGTGAGACCTAGGGGAGCTCCTATGCCACCCTGCTCTGTACCTCCTCTATAGTGCAGCTAGCTACCCTAAGAGAAATCCAGTGCTAGTGTGCTAGGATGGCTGCCCTGCCTCCACTTCCAACTGAAGAGCTCTTGTGCTGAGAGTGGTTTGCAGCACTCAGAAAGATTCCTAGCTGCAGTTCTGCTCCTATGATGCTAGAGATGACAATGGAAGAAACAAATCTCTTGAACTGTTTAAAAACAGTGCATGGAAAAAGGCTGAAACTTTGAGGCCAGATAAATGGCAATGCTTATTTTTGATTATACAAAAGTCTCCTGTAAATCTCTGAAAGGAAATAAATTGTGTCCCGTTTGGAAACTGGATTTGTTGACTAAGACATCCCAGCATATGATTTAGGTGAATGCCTGCACTATTCACATTGGGGGATTCAATAAAATTTCAATCCTAAGAAACTAAACTCAGGCTGTCAATATCATTGGAACCTCTTAGACTACGAATGATTGGTTAAGAAGGGCAGTGGTCCCCACCTTTTTCTGACTGAGCCCCTTAATTGGACACCTTTGAAGCTTTGCAACCATGACAGAGCTGAAATAGGTAGTGCCCTTTTGACCCCTCACCTTTAGCACTACCACCACAGAAGATGAAATTCTCACATAACAGCAATCACCAAAATAAACAAATAGCCCCTTTACTTGCAGACTGTGTGTGATGTGCCAGTCCTAGGCCATTCAGACTCACCCATTCCCCAACACTTCTTTGTAGCAAAGCTGGTAGGATGTGGTGTTACCAGAATCTTCATCAATATTTCTTGATGAAGTCAGTCAGATTCTTCCCCAGGCCATCCCTCCCCTGTAGAAAAACCTACACACCATCATCCTATGTTTGTTAGAAGCTCACACTCATTTGTAGAGCTTCTTTGTAATACTGATTTGGGTTATGCCTCAAAGCAGAGAACCAAAGGCCTAAGGCCTATACTGTACCTTAAATAAACTTTGCTGTGATCTAAGTATAAAGGGGCATTCATCCCGGGTCCTCCCCAATTGTTTTGACATTTGTTTTGCCACTGGACTTCAATGACTCTGAAGGAGGGAATGAGGCCCATGACTTTGTGCAGCTCAGCCTCATTTACATTCAATTCATGTGCAAGTCAAGACATCACCTTCATGATGACATTGGTCCACTTCAAGAACCAAAGTTGAACAACACAAAGGGCTTCAGGCTTCTTAGTACAGAAGAATAACTGCCTTAGGCAAAATTTTAATTTACTGAAGGTGCTCTGCATTTTAATATTTTCAAGGAATCATTGTGAGTTGTGACACGAAATCTATAATCACTAATTCAGAAATCCTAAACAGATTTGTTGAATATCTGGAGCTTAAAGCTGTTGTTGTCATAGTCTGATGGACATCCACATTCTTTCTCAAGGATCTGTCATGATGAGAACTCCAGCAACCCTTTGAGTTGAAGGAAAATAGTAAGAGAAAAGAATAAAAGCATTCATAGTTATGATGCTTTTAACTTTTTGCAACCTGTTTTCACATGTGTCATCTTATTTGATCTTCGCAAGAAGAATGCAGTGTGATACAATGGATAAGTAGCATGGCATTGTAGTCAGGAAGACCTGAGTTTAAGTCTTATCTCTGACTTTACCAGAAATTGATCAGTCCTTCTTTGGCAATCATTCTGATCCAGCAAGCATTTACAAATTGCCTACTTACACAAGACACTGTACAAAGTGCTAGGGATACAAAAGCAAAACAAGAAATGATCCTTACCCTCAAGGAGCTTACATTCTATTGATACCAATGGGAAACCCCTCACTGTATTGACTTTCTTCCTTTGGATATACTCTAAATAGTTGATGTCCCTTTAAAAATGTGGCCCTGAGAACAGGACACTGTCCTTCATATGTAGTCTGATCATGTCTAAGAACAACATTACTCTCCCTTCCTTCATAATGGAAACTATATTTCTCTTCATCCAGCTCAAGAATACACAGATTAGTGGCAGAATATAGATAAGAACTCAGACCACTTAATTCCTCTTTCTACTACACTGTGCTAGATCACACACTATGTAGTGTGCCCTGGGCACTGTTGGCAAGGGCTGCTGCTCTAACAGACAGAATCACATGCCAAATATTTAATTAATTGTGTTTTATATTTTTTATGAACAGATAAAAGTCAGACACTCATTGTGAGGTTGCTGACGACTCTGTAGTCTATTGAAGGATAACCCTTGTGAGCTGGGGGATGTGCCACCTTTCTCCACGTCCAAGATCTAAATATACTCACCATGCTGCCCCTTCAGCAATGTGCAGAACATTTGATCCCACTTGGCTCTAACTCTTGCCAGTCTCACATGGAGACCAGCAGCTTCTCTGGAAGAATGCCCAAAGTTCATGATTTCCCCACATAATAACATACATCTTCACAGGCGAGACACCTTCACTGTGAGAATTGCACATGAATCTCATGTGCAATTTGAAACTTTTCAAAGCTTATGAAGACTTAAAAAAAATGTGGTCACCTGTGGATTATTTAGGAAGTGATGGTGGCATTAAAAGATAGTAATCGAGACTTAAGATTGCCTATCTTTCAATGGTGACATATTGTATAGTAGTTTTTGTGACAAAATATTGGCTCTTGGGGGAAAAAAATACTTTCCCCAAGGCCTACTCTGATTTCACTCCTTAATTCGTGTATCAAGCATTCCTGCCGTGCATTATGGTGGGGATTTGGGGCTTCCTATACTATGGTTCCCTGGACATTTAAAAAATTACTCAATGTGCAATCCAAGGTAAATCTGATATTTTCAGATGCTAGAATGGATTAGCACACAAAGTAGGAATTCAGTGGAGCAAACACTCAAACATAGGCATAGCCACACCAAAGCAGTGTCTCATTTGGAAATGTATTGATTTTAGTTGGAAGTTCGCTTCACCCTCAAAATTATTTACAAGGTGAGATATTTTATGTGCCCTTCAATTATTTCTGGGGCTTTAAAAGTACAAAACACCTGCATGTGGGTGTGCTACAGTTGGTCTACTGGTGTCTTCAACACAATGGAAAAGGCTGGGGCTCACTTGAAAGGTGGAGCAAAGTGGGTCATTATCTCTGCCCCTTCTGCTGACTACAATCCATGCCATTACTGCTACCCAGAAGATAGTAGGTGGCCCCTCTGGCAAGTTGTGGCATGACAGGTGTGGTGCTGCCCAAAACATCATCACTGCTTCCACTGATGCTGTTAAGGTTATAGGCAAGGTCATACCCGAGCTGAATGGGAAGCTCACAGGCCTGGCCTTCCATGTTCCTACTCTCATTGCCTCTGTTGTGGATCTGATCTGCCACCTGGAGAAACCTGCCGACTATGATGATATCAAGAAAGTGGTGAAGCAAGCATCAGAGGGACCCTTGAAAGGCATTTTGGGTTACACAGAGGACCAGGTTGTATCCTGTGACTTTAACAGTGACACCTGCTCTTCTTCCTTTGATGCTGGCACTGGTTTTGCCCTTAACGACCATGTTGTCAAGCTCATTTTCTTGTATGACAACAAGTAGGGTTATAGTAACCACACAGTAGACTTCATGGTCTACATGACCTCCAAGGAGTAAAGTCATCCCTAGCCAAAAAAGGAGTTCTACCACTGGGTAGCCCACATCCCTGACCTATATTCCTCTACTGGGCATCCCATGCCCCATTCATACCCTTGCCTCAAAGCATGCCTATAGTATGGGGGAGAACCCTACTGTCCTATATTGTATACCTTCAATAAAGTCACCATATTCATTGCAAAATAAAATAAAATGATTGAGCTCATCATTTCTTATAGCACAGTAGTATTCCATCACAATCATATACCACAACCATTCCCCAATTGATGGGCATCCCTGAAATTTCCAGTTCTTTGCCCCTACAAAGGGAGCTGCTATATCATTTTAGAACATATAGGTTCTTTTCCTTTTTCCCTAATCATTTTTGGAAATAGACCAAGGAGTGGTATTGCTGGGCTAAAGGTATAGAATAACTCTTTGGGCATAATTCCAGATTGCTCTCCAAAATGGTTGGATCAGTTCACAATTCCACCAACAATAAATGTGTCCCAATTTTTCCACATCCCCTCCAACACTTGCCACTTTACTCATCTATAATTTTAGCCAATCTGTAGGTATAAAATGGTATCTCAAGATTGTTTTAATTTGCATTTCTCTAATCAGTAGTGATTTAGAGCATTTTTTTCCATTTGACTATAAATTGTTTTGATTTCTTCATTGGAAAACTGCCTGTTCATATCCTTTGGCCATTTATCAATTGGGAAATGACTCGTATTCTTATACATTTGACAAAGTTCTTTATATAAATTTTTCTTTCATTAAAGACAGAATTCAAGTATGCTCTCAGAAAAAATGGGCTTACATGAACTAATTCAAAGTGAAAAGAGCAAAACAAGGACAATATTGTACACAGTAACAGCAATACTGTTTGATGAGCTACTATGAATATTTTAGCTATTCTCAGCAATACAATGATCCAAGACAACTCTATAGGACTTATTATGAAAAGTGCTATCAATTTCCAAAGAAAGAACTAGTAGAACCTGAATGCAGATCAAAGCACTTTTTCTTTTCTTTCTTTATTTTTCTTGTTGTTTTTTGTCTGTTCTCTTTCACAGAATGACTTACATGGAAATGTGTTTGATGTGCATGACTAAACATGTAGAACCTATGGGGGAGAGGGGAGGAATGGAGAGAATTTGGAACTCAAGATTTGAAAAAAAAAGTTAAAATTATATTTACATGTAATTGGGAAAGATATTAAATAAGATTAATAACAAAACAAAACAAAACAAAAATAAAGGCAGAGCTCAGTTGCCATCTCTTCCATGAAGATACTGCTAGACAGAAGTAATCCTTTGTTCCTTAAATTTCTCGAGTTGTTTGATTGTTTAACCTTTTCTATACACTAAATGATACAATTTGTGTTAAAGTCATCTGTATGCATGTCTCATCACCCTATTAGATAATAAATTCCTCAAGGGTGGGGACTATAATATATATTTATCATTGTATTCACAGGCTTCACACAATATCCTGAATATTGTAGGTGTTTAATAAAGCTGTATTTAAGAAAATGTTTGAACTGAATTGAAGAGAAAGAAATTGTCTCAGTGGTTCATTTTCTTCTCTTCCCTTGAACACTATTTGTCCAGTGTTGTAGATGTTTGCCCAAGACTAACCTTGGTCCAGTGTTGGGGCTAGATCATAGTGAGGCTTGGGACTTTTTCGGTAATTATGGAGTCTACAGCAGTGAGGAAGAAAGAAAGAAAGAAGAGAGAAGAGAAACTCATTAAGCAAAGGCAACAGGCAGGGAAGGGATGTTTTTCTTTCTCACGTGAGGGTCAGGTAAATAGGGGCTCAGGAATTCAATTCAACTCAATAAATAGTAAGTGCCTAATATGAATAAGGTGCTGGAAATAAAAAATGAAAATAAAAAACAGTGGTGGTATTGTACCTATACTTGATAAGTATAAAATAAGGTAGAATGTGATTAAGTCAAAGAAGTCTAGGCAAAGTGCTCTAAATTTTTTTAAAGTAAAATTTCCCTTTTATCTGGGAAATTAAACCAGATTTTATGGAGAAAGTAGCATCTGACTTGGACTTTGATGGCATAGAGCATTTTTTCCCAATTTATTTATTTATTTTTAGTTTTCAACATTTACTTCCACAAGATTTTGAGCTCTAAATTTTCACCTCATCCCTCCCCTCTCACCACCCCATGACGGTCTACATTTCTTCTATTACCCCACCTCCCTTCTCTTATCCCTTTCCCCTTCTCTTTTCCTGTAGGGTAAGATAGATTTCCATACCCCTTTGCCTGTGTATTTTATTTCCCAGTTGCATGCAGAAACAATTTTTAACATTCATTTCTAAACCTTTGAGTTCTAAATTCTCTCCCCTCCTCCCTCACCACCCACCCTCATTGAGAAGGCAAGCAATTCAACATAGCCTATACATGTGCAGTCATGCAAAACACTTCCGTAATAGTCATGTTGTGAAAGACTAACTATATTTCCCTACATCCTATCTTGGCCCCCATTTATTCTATTCTCTCCTTTGTCTCTGTCCCACCTTGAAAGTGTTTGCTTCTGATTACCTCTTCCCCCAATCTGCCCTCCCTTCTATCACCCCTCCCTCTCTTATTCCCCTCCCTCCTACTTTCCTGTAGGGTAAGATAGATTTCCATGCCCAATTGGGTGTGTATGTTCCCTCCTTAAGCCAAATCCAATGAGAGTAAAGTTCACTCATTCCTTCTCACCTGCCCCCTCTTCCCCTCTACTGTAAAAGCTTTTTCTTGCCTCTTTTATATGAGACAGTTTACTCCATTCTACTTCTCCCTTCCTCCTTTTCCCAGTACATTCCTCTCTCACTCCTTAATTTTCTTTTTTAGATATCATCCCTTCATATTCAACACACCCTATGCCCTCTGTCTATATATATTCCCTCCAACTACCCTAATAATGAGAAAGGTCTCAGGAGTTACAAATATCAAATTTCCATGTAGAAATGTAAACAATTCAACTTTAATAAGTCTCTTAAGATTTCTCTTTCCTGTTTACCTTTTCACGCTTCTCTTGAGTCTGGTATTTGAAAGTCAATTTTTCCATTTAGCTCTGGCTTCTCAAGAATGCCTTAAATTCCTCTACATCATTGAATATCAATTTTTTTCCCCTCATTGATTACACTAAGTTTTGCTGGGTAGGTGATTCTTGATTTTAATCCTAGCTCCTTTGACCTCCAGAATATCATATTCCAAGCCCTCCAATCCCTCAATGTAGAAGCTGCTAAATCTTGTGTTATCCTGATTGTGTTTCCACAATATTTGAATTGTTTCTTTCTGGCTGCTTGCAATATTTTCTCCTTGACCTGGGAGCTCTAGAATTTGGCTATAATATCCCTAGGAGTTTTCCTTTTGGCATCTCTTTCAGGAGGTACTTAGTGGATTCTTTCAATTTCTATTTTACCCTCTGGTTTGAGAATATCAGGGCAGTTTTTCTTGATAATTTCTTGAAAGATGATGTCTAGACTCTTTTTGATTGTGTCTTTCAGGTAGTCCAATAATTTTTAAGTTCTCTCTCCTGGATCTATTTTCCAAGTCAGTTGTTTTTCCAATGAGATATTCCACATTGTCTTCTATTTTTTTCATTCTTTTTGTTTTGTTTTATGATGTCTTGACTTCTCATAGAGTCATTAGCTTCCATTTGCTCCATTTTAATTTTTAAGGAGTTATTTTCTTCAGTGAGCTTTTGCGTTTCCCTTTCCATTTGGCCAATCCTTTTTAAGGAATTCTTTTCCTCACTGGCTTTTTTGCACCTCTTTTGCCATTTGGTCTAGTCTATTTTTTAAGGTGTTATTTTCTTCAGTACTTTTTGGGTCTCCTTTAGCAAGCGGTTGACTTGTTTTTCATGATTTTCTTGCATCACTCTCATTTCTCTTCCCAGTTTTTTGAAGAGATATTCTTCACTCTTACTTTAGAGAAAAATACAGATGAATCCAGAATCTTTTCATGGAGAGACCCATGTAGAGAGGTTGAAGAAAAAACAACCTTTGAGAAGGGGCAGATTTGTAGAAGATCTGGTGCATCAACTTGTCCGTGATTTCTAGCTTATATCCCTAGAGACTCTAGGGTTTTCCTCTTGGATGAGGTTGAGTTGCCCCATTAGTTGAACTGAGATCATTCTTTATGTATTTTCTGGTATATTCTAATTTATATAACTTCTCTTTGCTTTCTGTTTGGATAGCTGAGTTTACTCACTATTATATTACTCTTTAATGGTTTTTTTTTGGTATAATTAACATTTGGTGGGAAAGAGTTAACCTATGGGTTTAAACTTAGATTTATCCTTTTCCTCTTTAAAGGATATTGACCAGGAAAGTGCCTTGAACCTAAAAACAGTCATTACCCTGGATTAACAATATTTATGGGAGCAAAGAGATATAATTCTAATCTGGTAATCCATCTCTCAGAACAGAAGACAATGGCCACCTTTGTGATCCCTTCTCCTATTCCCATCCAGGCAGGAATGAAATTTTCCCTTGAAGAATTCCAAAAATACATATCAATACTGCTTTTTAAGACACATTTAGACAACCCATGTGGACATAAGCCTAACCAACATGGGTAGCACACACATTTTATGTGTATATTAGATCTAAATATGTGATTAGTCTTTGAAGTTAGTTACTGTCTACACTATAAAGCTGTTGTCTTAGTAATGTATATTTGCTATCAATATTTATACATATACATCTCCCATGCCTTCTTGATTTCTATAATTATTGTCCATGTCTTTCTATAAATCTTCTATAGAGAATGCACTCAAAGTAATAAGGCCTATGTATATGCACATGTATATATTATATATGATCAGTTCTTGAAGTTAGCTATTCTTTGTATTAATAATAGCTAGCATTTATATGGTGCTTTAAGATTTGCAGAATGCTTTGCATATGTTAACTCATTTTATCCTCACAACAACTTTGTAAGGTAGGTGCTATTATTA